TACAAAACTTAAAAAAAAAAAAAAAAAACTCCTGAAGTGCCCCCTTGGACGATGGGGGGGAAGAGGTCAGGCCCTGGAGCCCACTTTGGGAGAAAAAAAGAGTGGAAGCCAAGCGGCACCCAGACCAGGGGGGGTTTGGGCCCGGCCCCCATCCGGTCGCCTTTTTGAAGGAATTTTTAACCCATTTTTGGCCCCAGGGGGCAAAGTTGGTGGGCTTTTTTTTATTCCCGGGGGTTTGGGAGACCTTGGGGGGGGGGGGGGGGGGGGGAGGGGGTTACGTGTTGCATAACATACATGGACGGGAGGAATGGAACAATCATGGTACGGCGCCATACTGTTGGACGCGAAAAGGCAACGATTCGGCGCTTTGATGGGTGGGGAGGCGTGTAGCAGGTATCAACAACAAAAGTATTAACATGGTTGTGTTTGAAATCCGACTTTACTCGTGGGGGGGCACAGTACCCGTGACAGGTCATGCAACCGGACGAACGTCCCGTAGAACTCGCGGGCGTTCAAATACGTCACAGCCTGCTGACGCGCCGCTTCTATACAGACCAAACATAGCCGACGAACGAGTGAGAATATGCTGCAAGCGTCAGGCAAACACGGGGGTCATGGCGCTGTCTACCTCCCTTCACCGGACACACCACGCCCCTTTCGGCGTGCTGCACCCCCAGACTTGACGAGTTTGGGGGCGCTATGCTCCTGGAAGGAACACACACTCCGTTCCTTGAGTCAGGGTCAGCCGGCTGGGAAACGACTAGGTGTGACGGTGATATCCAGCGCCATGAAAGACTCTTCCCAAACACGCCACACTCACGGTTGGTAAGAAGCAACAAAGGAACAATCGCGACCATGAGCGGAATAATACTGCACATCTCAAGGCCATAAAAAAGGGACCAAGCACGTTGCCCAAGGTGTGCTCACAAACGAAAAACAAGAGCCACAGGACAACCAAGCATGACCATGGCACTACACCAAATCGTCACTGCCAGTAACCCCCAACAAAAATAAGTAAATAAAAAAACGAACACGCAAGATGGTTTCGACCACATAGCTTCGGCCACCGAGAGCAGCGAGCGGCGCACCAAACAACTCAAAACCACGCGCATAAAATTCCTGGAAAATCCTTCACCTTAGCGTGGGCCACGGAAAGCAGCGGCACCACCGGGAAAGACGCGTAGAACGACTCCAGGGCACCCTGCGCGTTATCCAGCGCCACCGCGCGAGCCATCATCTCCGCCCCCGCCCCGCCCCCGCCCACCCTGTGGATACTAGCGGTGGAAACCCGACGCTTGTTTCATGTTCGGAAAAAACTTTTCGAAGTACTGGTAACACGAGCGAGTTA